TCATGTGCTTTGCGTTACAGCATAAATGATTCTTTAGATTCAATTTCGGTTCTGTTACCGAACACTAAAATTATTTGGTCTCAGATTTTACCTAGATCGATTTGGCGTAATGCTAGGGACAACAGGGCTCTTAATAAAGCAAGGGTTCGAGTTAATAGCTTTGTTGCAACGAAACTTCTGGCACATCAAGGGGGATATATTCGTTACCCAGAGTTCACTTCAGTTGGTCACACTTTGCTCAAAGAGGATGGGGTGCACTTGTCAGAGCAGGGCAATAAGATATTTGTTGAAACTTTGAAGAAAGCTTTGCACAATTTTATAATGTCAGGGGTGGGTGTTTTTCCTGCTTAAAATGGCCATGGCATTTGATTTCACTAAATAATGTAAATCACATTTAAATGGACACTGATGCACTGATGTAACTAATGTGTTTGTTTTATACTCATTTAATTGTCTTAGTATGCAACTTATGTGCACTGCCGTTCTTAAGACAGGGTTTGGGGATGGTTGGGGCGTTTTAGTTATTAGCGTTCAGCTACCGCCATTGTGGCGGTGGACACATAGTGTCCATTGGCGCAATCTTTAGCTGAACTTAAATAGGGTTATATTTAGTGAGCATCTGTTCCCAGGGCTCGCTACAACTGTACATAATTATTTTCAATATGTGTGAAATTTCAATTTGCTTATTTGTGTCAGACTGGATGAAACATTTGCAATGTATTACATGGTGTATTTGCCAGTAGGTTGTTTAACAGATTCATTTGTATATTTGCCTATTTCATATTCATTTCTATATTTGACAATTTCTTGTGAATTTTCATTTACATGTATTTGCCATTTGCCATTTGGGTTGCCAAAATCGCCCAATGTATTTGGGTCGGTAACCTTGGTTACGATCGTAACCAGTAACTAAATGTACTTGCTTAAATAACTGAAAATTGTAGTGCTGCCATGGCCATTATTCGCCATTAAACTTTAAGAAATTTATATCTGTGTGGTTTTCTCTAATAATTCGATTTAATTGCTGAAAATTAAATCGCGTTATTAGAGAGGCCCATATTTGGGGTTATTTGGGTTATTAGTGTTTCCCCGTTCTATCATCTTTCGAGTTTTTAGTCTACCCCTTGCGACTTCCTTTTCCGTTAGAGAACCCAAGAAAGCAGAAGTATCCTGCATCTCAAGTTGTAAATTTGTTTATTTTTTATACTGTGTTAAAAAATTTCCCACCCACCAACACCCCTTTTTATGTAATGTATGAATATATATAAATAAATGTCTATTTGGTGTCATTTTGCTGCTGCTTGATTTTTTGTATTTTCAGCCTTGTACATCTCTTCGTTCAGTACCTAACTTCGTCATGGCGCACTGCATGGCTGTAACCTCGATGGCTGTTGATGTTTCAAACCATTACTGTACCAGCTCCAATGAAGTTCCATATCCGAGATGCGGCGCAATCTTTAGCTGAACTTAAATAGGGTTATATTTAGTGAGCATCTGTTCCCAGGGCTCGCTACAACTGTACATAATTATTTTCAATATGTGTGAAATTTCAATTTGCTTATTTGTGTCAGACTGGATGAAACATTTGCAATGTATTACATGGTGTATTTGCCAGTAGGTTGTTTAACAGATTCATTTGTATATTTGCCTATTTCATATTCATTTCTATATTTGACAATTTCTTGTGAATTTTCATTTACATGTATTTGCCATTTGCCATTTGGGTTGCCAAAATCGCCCAATGTATTTGGGTCGGTAACCTTGGTTACGATCGTAACCAGTAACTAAATGTACTTGCTTAAATAACTGAAAATTGTAGTGCTGCCATGGCCATTATTCGCCATTAAACTTTAAGAAATTTATATCTGTGTGGTTTTCTCTAATAACACAATTTTGCAATTAAAGTATCAAAAGTTTTCTTGTGAACTATTCAAATTTTGGGCATGTTTCTTTGTAATATTGAGAAAGGTTACACACTCTTTAAAGAAAACAGCTGTAAGCAACAAGCAATCCTTAAATTTAAATTTTATGTTTTCTTTCTTAGGCAGTTTAATGTACTTACAATGTAAATTTCTAGTTTTAATTACACAGGTTTCTGCTAACCAGAAAAAGCTTTAAAGACTATTTCAGGTGAGCTAATTTCACACATATAACAAAATTTTTCACAATACATGTACTTAAATATTGTTTTTAATACAACATAAAATTATAGTTAATCTAATAATGAGAAATAATTTAATTTTGGTTGTAACATGTCATTTGATTAGATTAAAAAACATTAAACTATATCAGATAACTTGGGTTACCAACTTCAAAAATGTATCAGCTTATGTTACATTTCAATTACGTGTAATTTGAAGGCATTTTTAAAGGAGAAATTGTCCCATTTTCTACATTTAATGTTGGAAAATTAAAATGAATGAATTTATTAGCTACCCAGTTTATACTGCTATAACCTGTTTGGCTTTTTTTCATACCAGCTAACAGTCTTTCTGCCAGCAGCAGAATCTCTAGTGAGTATAATAGTAATACCAATATACATGTAATATATCATAGTGTAATTTGTTCAAATTTCCAATAAAATTTTTAGACTAAATATATCCATGGAATGAATATCAAAAATGAAAGAAAGTGAATATTACTTTGATCTGGACTGTTTTTAATGTGAATGATCATTAAGAAAATGCACATACAAAAAAAGAAAATATATATTCTTTATGTAACAATTTTGCTGTTTTCAGATGACAGAACTGCAAGTAAAAGAAAAGACTCCACAGTGAAGGGTAAAATACAAGTACATACACAGTTTCAACCCATTTGAAACATTCAAATCAGTTTATGCAGATTCATGCAGATTTATCTTTAAATTCACACACCTTTTATTTTCTTCTGTATGCTCATTCTTACTAAATGTATCATTAATTTCAGATCCAACGAAAGACAGACTTATGGAAATTGAAGAGGAGAAGTTGGTGATAATGAAGGAACACCTTAAGATTGAGAGAAGAAAAGTGGACATCTTGGAAGATTACGTTAACTGGAGAAAGAAGATGTACACAGAGGGCATGGAGAATACATGTACACCAACCGTATCTCCAATAATCAGAGGGCTTTTCACCTCATAGGCTCAAGTGAGCTTTTCTGGTCACTTATTCTCAGTCCGTCTGTTGATTTATGTAAGGGATCACTGTCTAGTTAGGATAGTATGCCAAGGCATCAACAATAGTTCAACAATAATTTCATGCATAAACTGTAGTTGATATCCTTGACATACTATCCTAATTAGACAGTGATCCCATATATTTTCATTTCATTGTGAAATAGAATTTTACATTCATATTTTAAAAATTTCAATTACACAAGGCCTCCCATGTCATTTTCAATAGCCCTCGCCCTCTGACTTCAAACACAAAGTTGTACAAGATTTACAAGCTCCTTAGCTCCTGACCTATCAATTTGCCTGGTAATATACATTCTTGTAGAATTGTCAGGAAATCAACTCCACTAAATTTCAAAGAGTCATGATATTTTTTCTGTAAGCTTATGCACTTATACATAAATCAAAGTTTTGCACTGATACATGAATCAAAGGTTTACATTTTACTGATAAATTGGTTTTTATGCCCCCGTAAACGAAGTTTTGGGGGTATATAGTTTTTGTCGTGTCCGTTTAGCTGTCTGTCGGTCTGTCTCTCTGTTTGTCTGTTTTTCCGCGAAAACTTTAACCTTGCCCATAACTTTTGAATTAGTGGAGCTATGACTTTCATATTTCTCAGGTGTATTCCTTGTGACAAGATCTTTCTTTGGGTACCACCAAATTTGACCTTTTGACCTTAACCTTGAAGTTTGACCCATTTTTACATGAAAATTTTAAACTTTAACTTTGGCCATATTTTATTGAATAGTAGATACCTTGTAGATTTCCGTTCTTGTGAAAAAACTTTAACATTGGCAATAACTTTTGAACGATAAGGGATAGGGCTTTCATACTTCATATATGTAATCCTTGTGAGAAGACCCTTCAGTAGATACCATGAACTTTGACCTTGACCTTTGAGATGACCTACTTAAAAAAAACAAACCTTGACCATAACTTTTAAAGGGTTAAGGCTAGTGCTTTCATACTTTACATATTTTATCCTTGTGACAAGACCTTTCATTTGATAACAAGAACTTTGACCCCTTGACCTTGGCGTTTGACTTACTTTAAAAAAAATTATCCTTGGCCTTAACTTCTGAACGGTTAGGGCTAGGGCTTTCATACTCTATATAAGTATTCTATGTGGCGAGACCTTTCATTTGATACCAATTACATTGACCTTTTCACCTTGACCTTGGAGATTTTTGTACTTATTGAAAAAACTTTAACACTGGCTTTCTTTCAAATTTCACAATTGTTTTCCAGTGAGAATACCTTACTTTTGGTACCAATTAAGTAAATTTGCATTTAAGAAAAGTTTAATCTTTGCTATGATGCCATGCGGGGGCATCAGTGTTTCACAAACACATATTGTTTTAAATTAGCTTTGAATGAATATGTTAAATTTATTAATTTATAAGTACCAGGTATAGATATTCAGAATATTTTATTTTCATATTCTTCCTCAGAATAATGGAGTAAAGATGACTGTAAGCACTGTGGCCCATGTGTCTCTTGATTCTTGTAACCACACCTCTTATTTGAGGGTTAAACTACCATTTGAAAATGCTGTACATATTTATCTAACATTAATATATGTTGACTACTTATGCAGTTGTTATGTTGTTTATATAAACTGTATTTATATCACCTGAGGTGTGTGTGTCATTGTGAAGTACCTTAAGATGCTTACTTTGTACAAATTCCACAATAATGTTTTCTGTTAATGAAACAAAAATTTTGTTATTGTTTTTTGTGAACTATGCATATTATTATATTATTTGTTACTTATCCTACAGCTATATAAGTCCTATATGTATTGTAATGAGATGTTTGTGGAAAAAACAACAACAACAAAATCAGTTTTACTTATTGTAATGTCTTTAAAATTCTGATTATGGTAATAATACATATAATGATAAGTAGACAAGCAATATATTTTTAGCAGATTAAACATAATGACTTAATGTAAAGCAGATTGACCTGCTGATGATGCAAAACATATACATGCACTGTGATGTAAGCAATACTGGTTCTGGTATGACTACTATGACTATATTATAATTATTTTTTAGAATGATCTACTAAAAAAAAAAGAATTATTTTCAATATGAATAAGACATTAAGTTTGTATTTAATATTATTCACAAATTGTCATTCAATAAATTACTTCGAGCATAAATAAAGAGAGTTTATCCACATGGAATGAATAAGCTATAAGTTAACTGGTAACAATTTTAGGAGTTTACATGTGAAAAAAACTTTGTTACTAGTGATTTATTATATTCTCTTTTTTTCTGATATAGAGCATATTGCTTCATTGCTTGGAAATTTTGCTATATCTACATTATAAGATGGTAACATATTAAATTTCTTTACTTAAAAAAAAATAGTACTTTGTAGTGGCATCTTGTCATTTTCAGTACAATTTAGAAATTTTTCAATTCGTTCCCGAGTGTATAATCGGTATTTATGAAACATTGAAAGTTTTTGTTCATGTTTTAAGGTTTTGTGCCTCTCATCATACTATTGTTGTAAAGTTTGTCATCTACTTAAGCTGTGATATGAATTTATAAGAAAAAAACCTTTGTTTCTTGGTAAAAGCTGAATAATTAAAATTACCATTATATAGAATTCTGTTACACATGTATTTACATTTATAGTGAGATGAATTATTAAATGATTATAATAGTAACAATTTAAAGCAGTTTCAATTGTCTTTTTGGAGAAGAAATCATTCCACTTATTACGGAAGCTGAAAACACTGTACACTAAAGAGTTCTAATTGTACAATGCAAAAATAGACTTTTATGCAGTTAAAGTGACCTGCTCCTGTATGAAAAATAAAATAACTTAATATCAGACCAAGATAAAGTAACCGAATACATAATTTTACATGTGTTCTGTATTTTACCAATATTATATAAGCTAGAAAGATTGACTCCTGTTCACTGATAAATCATGATTGACTTTGAACATTTTTCCTCAGGAAATATGGCAGGTACCTTAAGTTAAAAATTATAACTGAATAAACTTGTGTACATCTTTATATGATATACTGGTAATTTTTCTGAATTAAAAAAAATCATTGGTGTTTAAAGCTTCATTAAGAATATTTTCTTCCATCTTGAAACTAACTGCTTAGGGAGTCTGCAAAAAGCCAAAATTGCACTAGCAGGAGTTTTTTCAATTGTTTGACAGACTGATAGTTTCAATTGGCAAATCTCTGTATTAGTCTCTGTCTGACTGTTTGTCCAGCACCATCTGCAATAACACCTTGTGGCCCAGAAAATTCCTGGTCTGGGTCGTTATCGCACATCTCTCCATCAATGGGCAGCTTAATGTCCATACACATGTTGTGCAGCTTAAACACAGCTGTGATGATCTGCACACTTTTTGCAGGAGTGAATAAAAGCATCCCACCAGATTTATGTATGCACCTATACAAGAAAAAAAATGCATTATAGTATTTACATTTTTCCAAATTTCTGAATTGTTTTAAAAATTTTGAAGTATTTTAGTTAAATAGTACCTGAATCGGGATTTGCATACACCGAGTGCTCTTTCAACTACAACCCTTGTCTTGCTGTGGGCTAAATTGTAATTTTCCTCTGCTTCATTGCTTGGGTTGGACTTGGCCGTCATCATGTACCGCTTTAAAGCATATGCCGAGTCCCCAAGAAGCCAGCCGTCATTCCTGTGGAAGTAATGTTTAAAATAAATGCTAAATCATACAAAGGTTGTAAAATAAGGTGATTTTAAAACCTTTATATACATCTATATATCATATATTCCTACCTTGCTTCCATGTGGGTCTTCAAGGCAGAGTTAGAAAAGATGAACGCATCGTGTGTAGACCCAGGCCACTTGCAAACTATGTTTGTAAACCTTGAGACATAAATGAAAACATATTTATTTTTCATTCAGTAATGTCAATATATTTATATTGTTTGGCACTTTTTAAAGAAAAATAAAATTATACCTTAAGGAGGCATCAGCAACCACTTGTACGTTTATAGCGTGATAGCCCTTCCGACAAACGTACACTGATTCATTGTCTTTGGGTGCAGTAATTGGAACTAAAGTTCCACCAACGGCACCAACGACATTGGGGAATCCAGCAATCTTATATAACTCGTGTTTTGTACGTGACGAGTCATTCTCTAGATGCAAAAGAAATTTTTATCTGATAATTTTTTCGGTTTTTGAAAGTGAATTTTACATTTATTGACATATGAGAGAGAGAGAGAGAGAGAGAGAGAGAGAGAGAGAGAGAGAGCATGAATGTGTTTTGCATGCATATATACATATTTCTTCTCAGTTGATATTAAAATATATTATACTTTCATGTAAGTTAGTTGAATCTGATTGATCGAGAAACATTTGTTAAAAAACATTATTACCCGCTGAATAATGACCCTCCAGCGTAGCAACAGTCAACATTGCTTTTCGACTGGTGATGTTCCAAAAAAATAGCGACTGCGCAGAATTTATGCGCGTACGGTTCACTGTTATATGTATTTGTATAAAACATTCAGTATAATATAATAAATATTGCATGTAGTTGAGTGTAACATTGAAAATTTTCACCCCTCGAAAACCATTGTCAGCCTCGGCTGCGCCTCGATTGACAATGGTTTTCTTGGGGTGAAAATTTTCAATGTCACACTCAACTACATGCAATATTTATATATTATTTCATCACTACTATCATTATCAAGTGAATATCAAATTTAAGTATGATTTGTAAATGGGACTGCAAGAACTAATTGAAACGTTAACATACCCGATGGAAAGTGGATGTTGTTAAGCCGATTACAGATACTTCTGGTTACACTGTCAATGGCTCTTGACACACTAGACCGAGACACCCCATGAAGATCTCCACATTCCGAGAAAAATGCTGCCTTTGATAAGTATCTTATTGTAACAAGTACCTAAAAAATTGCATAATTAAGCATTCAATTGAATATTCTAAGAAATATTGTGGGGGGTGGGGGTGGTAATGACTTCCTTGATATTACATAATACGCATTTTTGCATTGTTGCAGATTCATTTTATTTCTTAATATATATAGGTACATGTATAAATAATTTTTAATATAGGAAGTTACTCTGTAATAAATTCAAAATAATTGTGAAAATTATCCTTCAAAGAATCGGGGGATGGGAGAGGGGGGTGGGAGGGTTGAGAGAAGAGAGTCATCTACAAAATGGTTGTTTTGCGGAATATCTCAATATTGATCGAATACATGTAAATACTACTTGTCAAAATGATATATAGTTTCTAAACAAGCTTAATACTCGACTTTCATTTTCTACCACAAACTTCCAACCGTACGAAAAAAAAAGGGAATACAAATATTCCAATATTTGTAGTAATTTTGAACGACATCTTAATACTCTGTAAAGTTTAAGTGGGACAATATTTTCATACATATTTTTTTAATTTTCAGAATTTGGTATGATATTTCTTGTTTTTATTTTTGACCACCTCAGATTTCTTTTTTCAATTAGCATATATATATATATAGTCGGTGTATTAAAAAATAATAAACAAGCACAAGCATACATTCAAAAGACAACAGAGAAAAACAAGTCCTTATTTATTAGAATTTATTATAAATTAAAGTTTATTTTTCCTCGATTGTAACTATTTAAAAAAATCTCGTATGCTTTTGATTGGAGACAATGGAATGGTTGCTTATAAAATGCGTATGTTTGGTATATATATGCAAGTTATTTTACATAAATTTATATCAGTTTTTGGGACAAAGTGGAATAAAAAAAAATAATATCTCTCATTCTCTATATCTCTGCTTCTTTTCTTTTCTGTTCATTTCTTTCGTGGATGCTTTTGGCATAGTTGCATACACATTAATATTAACGTTACGCAAATTTTTATATTTATGCAATGGTGTGCCGAGTCCTGTTGAAAAAAGAAAGATAACTTTAAACGTACAACAAAGTCGGACTCGGGCTTCGTTATATTTTCATACAGAGATGTTATACCTGTGTGGATGTTGACAAGGCATGGCTTCGCCCTGTAGATCTCTGCACGTCGGCTTCTACCATGTCAATAAGTCTATATATGAAAACTCGAGGTAAGCGATACCTTTCTATCACTTCCTGGTCGTTGAGAAAATCGAGGGGGTTTGTCCGATCCCGGAAAACCCTCTCTCGTCGAAAATTTCCTTTCGCATCGTCTGCTAGCAGGAGAAAAGACGCCATTTTTGTTTATTTACGTGCTCGCAAGTTAATTAACGAGTGCCCCTGACCACTCGTAGAGTTACGATTAAGTTTAGTCGTAAATCGCAAGTCGTAACTCTTAGTGAAACGCTCTTACGTGCAACGTTCACGTTTACGTCTACGTTTACTAGCTACGACCTGTTAGTGAAACTGTCGCCAGAACTTTAAAGACACAGACCAGGGCCTGTAGTCTGTGGGAAAAAGATACGGCAGGACACATGGACGAAGTGGGGTTAGAGGCTCTTGGTGTAGCTCAAAATAAAACCTTTGATGTAACTCCAGCTGCAAATGGTGGGGCCGACACGGTGACCATTAACGCACCCATCCTCACAGCGTTACCGGCCAATTCTAAAAACGAAGGATTCAGAAAAAGACACCAAGCTATTGCTGACAGTAAGAAACTCAGTTTGCTGGATACTTTACATTTGGATTTGTTTCAACAAGATCGATTTCTGCCTAATGGAGTGGACGTCCGTTTGCGATTTAATCGAGCTAGACCCTCTTTCTACATGATGATCAAAGGAGGAAGTACAGGAAAAGTGAAAATATTGAGTATGATCTTGTGGGTGAGAAAAGTCAAACCCACAGCAGTCATGATGAATACCATTAATCAAAGTTTGAACACCCACAGAGCCAAATATCCCTTGAGAAGAGTGGAAGTGAAAACCTTTACCATCCCCATAGGGACCCAGTCTAAGATTACAGATCATCTGTTTCAAGGTCAGATACCTAAACGTCTCATTTTAGGCTTTGTGGAGAATGCGGCCTTTAACGGAGATAAAACTAAAAATCCCTTTCATTTCCAAAACTTTGGGATCAAGAAATTAGATGTCAGTATCAACGGAGAGACCATGAGTACTCGTTGTTTTGAACCTCATTTCAACGAGGATTTATATCTGAGATCTTATCTCAGTCTGTATCAAGCTCTGGGGAAATTAGGAGAAGATTGGGCTCCGGACATTACCCTAGAAGAGTATAAAAGCGGCTACACTCTATGGGGTTGGGATTTCACTAAAGATCAAGAGGCGCAATCGGATAAATTCCACATCATAGAAACAGGAAATCTGAGAGTAGAAGTGCAGTTTACCATCAATACGGCTACCACCATCAATTGTGTGGTGTATGCAGAATTCGATAACTTATTAGAAATTAACAAACAGAGAGAAGTGAGCACTGATTACTAAAAAATGGATACGGGACAATTGAGAGAAGTCTTATCCAGAGAATTCAAGAGTTCTTTTGGAGGCGTGTATCCTGTAGATTTATTACCGGATCAATTAAGACCTGGAGAAAAAGCTGTGGTGGTCAATACGGATCCTCAAGATCGACCTGGAGAACATTGGGTGTGTCTATATTTGAGCAATCCCGTGGTGGAATATTTCGATTCTTATGGATTTCCTCCCTTACAAAAAGAAATTCAAGATTTTATCCAGCGTCATGCTCAGCAATGGATTTATAATCCGTATCGCTATCAAGACTGGAATACCGATGTGTGTGGACAATATTGCGTGTATTATTTACATCAAAGAGACAAGAAAAGAAAGAAAACCGACGAATGGCTATTCCCTTTTGATCAGAGTACGGCTTTACAAAGGGACAGATATGTGGCGAATTGGTTTAAAAACACTTATCATAAATTACCTACGGGTCATGGACAAAAGTGTCAATGTTTTTATCAAAATGTATTGTAAATGAGTTGTTTGTTGTTCTTTGTTGTTGGTTGTTGTTACAAATAAAGAATGAAAAATCAAAATCTGTGTTCTTTGTTTTGTCTTTTGTTAGTGTTTTCAGAAAATCCAGTTTGAACTGGTTAGGCTAGACTGAGCTTTTGACTGTGAAGTGTGACGTCATAATCTTGAATCGCTGCCAAGTATTTACCTGTGCAGTCAGCATAAAAAAAAAAACGTAGGTAAAACGTATGTTTTGCACACGGCCCTTATCTTTCAAGGTCAGGGGTATAAAAACAAGGTGTTAAAGACGATCCTCCTCAGTTGGGGGGGCATGTGGTTGAGTAAACGACAGTTTGGCAAACGAATTCCAAGAATATTAGAAGACATGGAGATGGACAAAGATAAATTTGCCTTGTTAGAAAAGAGAATGACGGAACCTATGGCGGGGGATCACGAAGCTCCTCAACAAAGAAGAATGGAGTTGAAAACCTTGGATCCGGAACCTAAGAATGAATATTTACCCCTGAATGAGCCTGTGAAGGATCCTAAATGTCCAGACAGATTTTACAGGATAGCCTTTAATTGGACTTTCATCATTTCAGAGCCCAAAGAAGAAGGAGATATAGATATGTTTCTGAGCAATGAAGATAAATTTGACTATTTGATTCTTCAAAAGGAAAGACATCCCTGGACAGGAGAAGTACATCAAATCAGGGGATTCATTCAAATGAAAAGACCAGTAGGAGGACTATGTATGTGTAAACTTCATATCACTGCTGATTTTGCTATGTCTCACAGTACCCCAGAATTGGAAAGTATGTTTTACAAGCAAGGAGGTGACTATGAAGAATATGGGGTTCTGAAACTTGAGGAGAGAAACAAAGAATTGGAGGACAGAGATTGGATAGAATGGGAGATAGGAGCTTGGAAGAAACCTGAAGCCATTGCAGCTAGAGAAGCTATGAAGAAAAGGTTCTTTCAGTATGTAGATAACACAAGATTTTGAATAAAAAAGATTGAACTGTTATTTATTGTTAGATCTCAATAAAAAGAAAAGAAGAAAAAAAAATTGTGGGTTTTTGTCATTTTTTAAAAAATAGGTTATCTCCCTTTCACCATAGATTTTTTTTTTTCAAAAACACAAAACAAAAAGTGTTCAGGGTTTTTTAAAGATTGATAAAAAAAGATACAATTAAAAAAAAAGTATAAATAGTAAACACGGTACAAAACACACCTCAGTTGTGGACTGGCTTCATTATGGGTAACACCTCCAGCAAAGAAATGAGTAAAGGAATGAGTAAAATTCAGTTTGGACAGAGAGTTCTTTCAGAGAAAGATGTAGACAGAGGTATACCAATTCAAATACATGATGATGGGACTATTGAGATCATTTCTCAAGAAGAATATAACCAATTGTGTCCAGAAAAGGGTGATCCTAATGATGCGAGAGATTACATAGAAAGTCCTTTTATGGTAGAACATCCTGCAGTATTTATACCACCTCCCTTGATGGAAGAACATCCTGTAGACTATAAACCTCAGGAGGAGGAGGAGGAAAAAGAAAACATAAGACCAAACAAACTCTTGGAGGATATTAAGGCTCATTATCAAAATAAACAGAAAGAAAATACAGGCAATGGATATATTGCTTACTTAAAACAAGACAGAGGTAGAATAGCCAATAATTGGATATTTAATTTAACTGGGTGCCGACAGGAAGATGTAGATCAAATCATTGGAAGTGATTATCAATACTTGATCTTACAAAAAGAAAGGCATCCAGAAACTGGAAAACTTCATCATGTGAGAGGATTCATTCAAATGAAAAACAGAGTTCAAGGGAGATACCTGTACAGAAAGATTCATAAATTAACCTGTTTTGAGATGTCTCACAGCACTCCAGAATTGGAAAGAACCTTTTATAGACAAGGTGACTATGAAGAATATGGAGTTCTAAAACCTGATGTGAGAAACAAAGAATTAGTTCCAAGAGATTGTAGATTTACCTGAATAAAAAAAAAAATCTTGTTTTTATTGTGTTGTTGATCTATAAAAACAAGGGTGATTTTTAAAAAATAGATTCATTTTACATCATGAGTCTCCAGGAGATACAAGGTGATTTACTCAACTGTGAGGTAGAAGCTATTGTTCATCAATGTAATTGTTTAACTGTAAAAGCTCATGGATTGAGTCAAAGTATTGCAGAGAAATTCCCACAAGCCAATCTCTATGCCACTCGCAGACCTCTAGGGTCTAGAAATTTAGCCGTAGAAGAAGATAGAGGAATTCCAGGCACTATTAAGGTGTTTCCCTCACAAACCCCTGTGGTCATTTGTTTACTAGCTCAATGGAATTATGGAAAAGCAAGTCACCGACCTAAAAGAATTTCCACTTATCAGGATACCCCACAAAACAGAGAGCAATGGTTTCAAACTTGTTTACAAGAAATGGGGGAAAGTTTACCTTACCAGACTTATGCTTTTCCTTACAAGATTGGCTGTGGACTAGCCCAAGGAAATTGGATTCATTATAGACATTATATTGAACAATTTGTACACACTTATGAAAAACATGTGTACATTCTTCATCATCATCATCATTAATTGTGTGTGTTTTCATGTGATGTAAAAATAAAGAAAGAAAAAAAAGTACCTTTTTTATCTGTCATACTCTAAAGTCTGTTTAAAACCGGAGATGAAGGTCCACCGTAATCCCCATGCACTCAAAAGCAGATCTCTGGGGGAGGTCAGTAGAAACAGTCATGTAGTTTTTCTTCTTTCCCCTGTGATATAATGTCAATATTTTAATGGAAAATTCAGAAATTCATCAGTAATTGGAGATAAAAAACTTGCTATCTTTATAGTATTGATTTCCATTATCAGATTTATTTATTTTTATCCATTTTAAAAAATATAAACATTTAAAATAATTATCTTAATAATAATAATTAAATAAATTAAAATGATATCTCATTGAAAACTTTTTTAGATTCAAGTTTAGTTTTTATGTTAGTTATTTCACTGTATATTTCCCAAAGGAAGACCAACAGCCAGGCTTCACTTCACTTAGAGAATGGATTGGTTAGGAACAAAACATATCTTCCAGGATGAGGACTGTATAGAAAAATAAAAACCCATTTTTTTTAATAAATTACATGAGACAATGCCTCTTATAAATGTAATGCAAAATAATATCTCTTATATATATATACGGATACCTATACTCTAATCATATTAAATGTCATTTGTAAAATGTATTTTTTTTTTTAAAAGACAGATTTATTTTAGGATAGACTTTAAATGATGACATGAATAGCAGGCCATACTTTCAGCACATGACAAAACATTATCTCAAATTACACAGAAATGGGTTATTTAGCATAGCTGACATTAAACATATAGGTGAGTGATAACATATTCACAATCATAAACAATGTGAAACAACTTTAAACGACCTACACGATGGATTACAAGCCTTTTTCACTGGGGTAAAATCTTTGCCGAAATTCGCCATGGCCGCCGAACCCGAACCCGACTGCAGAAAGATGAAGTCATAAAAATAACATAACACTGATGTAGTATTACATGATTTTTTTTTTATTTTATTTCTTAAAAACTAACAATGCTTCTAACTGTCGAATTCTCCTCCGAAATCGTATTCGATCCGCTACTAATTGCATCCAGGGATTTCTCCGGTCTTCGGGGGGTAATTCGTAGATTTGATTGAGGCTAGCCTGTGTGAAATTTCCAGGTATTTCATTCCGTATTGAATACATACTTTCTCCATCGCATCTATGTCCTGCCACAGTAAAATCATTTTGCCAGCTTGGGGATGAGTCATGAAACTGTAAGGCTTTCCGAAATAACGGGTCAGGTTTAGTCCGTGCCATTTCTGGGGCAGAATTGTTTTCATATGTCGACATAGAAAATGTATGGCAGCTAGTCTCCCCATACGGCCCCCTGACTTGAATCGCTGCCAAGTATTTACCTGTGTAGTCAGCATAAAAAACGTAGGTCTATCGTATTTTTGCACACGGCCCTTGACAGATGATGCAACAGGTATAAAAAGGTAGGTCAAAGGTGCACACGGCCCCCCTGACTTGAATCGATGCCAAGTATTTACCTGTGTAGTCAGCATATTTTTTGCACACGGCCCTAAACAAACTTGACTCGCTGCCAAGTATTTACCTGTGTAGTCAGCATAAAAAAAAACGTAGGTAAAACGTGCACTCGCCCCACAGCAGGTATATAAAGCAAAAAACTGTAAAATTTGACGATCATTCTTGCTTGACACTTCGAACCTGACAGACGTGAAAAATATTATGGCAGAAGCAATGATGAATACCCCAGACAACCCCAGCTATGTGACACCTGAAGAATATGTAGGAGCCCCCTATAGTTTTCAAGAATACATGAATAAAGAAGATATGGGCATCTTAAATACAACTCTGGCTGGAATTGTTAACATGCTGTCTGGTCTTGACAACAAGGTGAGTGATCTTGACAACAAGCTGA